ATATATAAAAACAGAAAAAACAATGCGTATTAATGCAAATTCTATCATGTGTGCATACACATATTTGGTGTTTGGTAATATGTGTTTCATGCACAGATTTGTGTGTTTGACTCGTGTCGATGCATAAATGTGTTTCTCCTTGGCTTGGCGACATTCCTATGACATCATGTGTCCAGTCAGCACTCCACCATGCTAAGCTGGCATCTGCGAGGTAAAGCTCCCTCATGCACGAAATAATAAAAAAGGAAAGAGAAACAGGAAGGTGATGTCATCTTATCGGCTCATAGTAAGAGAGAGAGTGACTTCAAGCAAAACGAAATCTCAGCAACTATAGACCATCCGAGGAAACTGAGCAAAAACGTCACCCGGCCTTCCTGCAGCGACACGAGGAGGTGATGTCACCTTGTTGGCTACACTGACTCTTAAAGCACAACTGAGACACTAAGCTCATTAAAACAAAATCCTGCTGGACCCTCGGACAAAGCAGCTCTGTTTTTCATACTGTTGATCCACATTTGTTTTTAATAGATTGAATTTTTACTCCTACCTGTTTTCTCAGTGGTTTGTTTTAACACATTAGGAATACTGACCACTGATCAGCGTAAATCACTTACAGATATTCATAGCGGTACTTGCATGTGCATGTTAAAGTGAGATTTTAGTCTAACAAAGGTGGTTTTATTTTTACTGTCATTACTCTTTAGGTCACCATACAAGCAAATAACTTGGTCTGCAGTATTTTACGAGTTTACAGCAAATTTAAAATCAATGTCACATTCTCACTCAGTCTTTTACAAGATGCTCTAAGTGAGATATAGATTAACTGGTAAAGGAAAACTAAAATCACAAAGGAAAATGTGTCAGTCACAGGAATTTACAAGTCTGCTGGAACAAACACTAGTGTGCTTTCCACATTATCCGGCTGCGGGACAGGATCTGAACTGAATGCACAGATGTTTAATGTACCAATTTTACATTTGCAGGGCTCTAATGTGCAGCTGTCACATTAGACATAAACAGCAGCACTGAGAGTGCACCGAGTGCATATGCTCCTTTTATTTCACAGTTTTCTGACAGATGCTCTCTTGGCTATTTTGCAGTATCTGTCTTGACTTTTGCCTGCTATCGCCTCTGATAACGTCTGACTGAAGCAGGCAGTCGCTCCTTTTGGTTTTTTTTTAAAGAAGTGAAACAACACATTTAATGTGCGTTTCTGTGCACAGAGACTGAAGCAACAAACCTGAGTCAACAAAGAGAGATTATTACCTATTATTGCTGAATTGGGTTTTTAGGTGTTGTTGAGCCAGTAAAATAAAACGTGGTCAAAGAGTCCAAAGACAAATCTCTTTCATAACCCATTTTCATTGATGCTGCTGCAGCACAATACAGTCTCTGGGTATAAAGTATGTTACCACCTTAGAAAGATATGTAAACAACTACCATTGAATCCATTTCCATTGGTGAACATGTCTCTCCAAAGCTGTGGACATTAAGTTGTCACTATGACAATTTCTCTTTGGTTGGCTGCAAGGATTTGCTCCACTTTAGTTGAAAGAGGCATTAGTGAGCTCCAGGACTGACAAGAGGTAAAGGGCCCTGGCTCGCAGTTAACATCCCAAAGGAAGATGAGCTTTAAGTCGGGTCTTTGTGCAGGTTCCTCTGCACAAAAATAGGGAAAACCTCTTCTTTGGCGGCATGATAAAAGGCACTGTCATGTTGAAATACATTCAGAAATGTTGGAGACACACTGCTGTTTAAAACTCTATGTTTTGCTGGAGATGAGCCCATGATAAATCCCTCCGGGCCAAATATATCTAGTCAGGGTTGTCTGCACACTTTAAGCCGCATAATATAATTTGGGTGAGTGTTACAGATAAAGTAAATCTCGTTTTTTAAAAGCACCATACGGGTCACCAAGTGTGACCACACAAAACAGTTACACCTAGTAACTTTCCACTGGGATAGAATTCGACTGGAAGTTGATGTCCAGTCCACTTACTGCAGTGAGATAATGGGAGAGTTTTGGCTCAGACCCCAAATGTGTCATCCCGAATAAAACCAACCTTCTCATTACTGAATTTCTGATTGAAACGTCAAAATGTACTAAAGCTACTTTCCAGATGGCTTGACTTATGTTGAAAGTTTTTACCAAAAGCCCACAGCAAGACCTCAAATCACTGCTGCCCTGTAGCTCCTCCAGCGGAGAGCAATTATTTGGAATTAAGCCCCATTCACTGTTCAGCCAGCAGCAAGAACAAGGTATGGCCTGACAAGCTGTCAGCTGGGAAACGCTTAGAAGAGCTGCAGAGTGAATCTTCATCCACCGAACCATCTCTTTTATTAACCTTTAGGAATGTTGACTTTTAACAAGTGCACTTCTCTTCTGCTGCCTGGTTGCTATTTAACATCTTATCTAAGCAGACAGGTGAAAGAGGAGTTTGACACCTTCAAGGCTTAGGTGTTCACAACTGTTATGCTACAGCACAACAAGAAAGAGAAGAGATTTCTAACTACAATCCAACTAACTCTAAGGACAATAAGTTAAAAATGCTATTATAGAAACTATAACCTCAACCACTATAATCCCTAATAGACTACAAAGCTTTTGCTAAAGCCTTTTTATCTGTAGCACTGCGATGAGCTTTAAATCTTCCACCATCACGGACTGTAAAGCCTGCAATTTAAAGCGAGGCAAGGAGAGACTGACCTGCAAGCAGCTGATGAGAGTTCACAGTTGGATTTAATCACCTGATCATAAACCCCTGAGAGTGCCTGGCGGCTGAAATGTCCTCAGGATGTGCATATGTTCCATTAATTTGATGGAGCTCACTTTTATTTTTTGGCATCAATACAATGAGAACATTTGATTTTGTGTTTCTTGTATAACCAGAGAATGTGTTTTCTCTCTGCAGACCCTCCGTCCACAGATTTTACGACAGCTGTGCGCTTATGTTTGTCTCCGAGGCAGCTCTGCAATGACCGAAAAAAACAGCAGAATAATTGGAAAATCAGGAAACAAACTGTGACAAGACAAGTGTAGTTGTGTGCAGTTGTTCCATGAGTTCTGTGAGGTTTTGATTGTTTCCATGAGTAAACAACAGTTAGTGTGCACAGGCTGAGGAGATTTTATTTATCCCACTCACACTTTCGGTTCAGATTAACTTTACCTGACAGAATGAAGAATATACCAGAAACGAAGGCGAGGATGGTGCGCTGCGGCCGAATGTGCCCGATATTGCTGATTACAAAGGCGGTGAAGACAAAGAGCAGGGAGACCATGGGGAAGGGAGTGGCAGTCCGGACCATTTCTGAAGAAAAAAAGGAAGGAGGATTAGTAGAATGAGTGTGTGATACGAATAAAAATGAGGAAAACTCATAAAAGTTTAAGCCTTCAGAAATGGTCACATTAATCAAGAATAATTTAAAATGTTACCAAATTATTTCCTGAATTAAAAATAAAGCTTGGAGCAAATTAACTACGACACATGAAGTCGATAAAGTGGATTTTTTTCATACTGTGCAGAATATTTCTCTAAAGCCCAAAAATGTCTAATGTCATGTTGCTGCACATAATAACAACGTTCTGACTTTGTGTTTGGGTTGTTTTGTGTATTTTAAATGATTTAAGGTTTATCATGTTGTTACATCTATTTTTTTTTTACAAAGTCTGTGTTTTCTTTAGTCGTGGGAAAAGTGGAAAATCTGCCCCAATGACCACTGTAACCACACAGGTGTAGCATACTGTAGCACACCATTTCACCATAAAACTATCAAACCATTAAGAGCCAGATAACTACATTTAACATCATACTGGTTGTTGTATGTAATATTATTTCCAATTGCCTTTTATTTTATATAGCCTCAGCTTTATTGTGGTTGGTCTGTGTAAGTTCTTAGTCATCTACTTCACGGTACTCGTAAGCACTTGAGTTGGAGGCAAATGGACCTTCTTTTACGATCATGAAGTTGTGTCACCTCTCATATGAAAAGCTTTGCCAGTTCTAAAAACTGATGGCGAGTTCCAGTTACTAAACTCATTGTGGCGTTGTCACCTTGCAGGTGGTCCTGAGAGATGTCTACACACGACGTCACCACGTGAGTCACCAAGGGTCACATGAATGAAGGTGTGAAGTAAAGACGTGCAAAGAATTTTTCTCATGCACAACATCCCGGTTGAGCAGAGCCAGGCCAAAACTAGTTAATCTCAAGGACAAAACAACTAAACACAAGCTGAACAACATTATGTATGCAATGCAATGCAATGCAGTGAGGGGTATTAAGACTGATACCTACTGGAGACACAACATAGGAGAGCCAGTTCATTAGGATGAGACTGTGTATCCCCTTTTATTTACAAGAACAAGAATTACTTCTACTGTACTGAACAGTTAAGATAACACTTTGTCTTTTTGTGTTGTCAGAAATCTTCAAGTAAGCATAGGAACCAGAAGTCTGCTGGAGCTCGCTCAGTGTTACGTTGAGTAAGGTCTATGATTTATTCAGTAACCTCTCCGACAGAGCTGCTGCAGTGTTATGACTTGTGCATGTACCTGAGGACATTTATCTAGCATTAAGCGGCGCACACGTCTTCCCCCTGGTGTCTTTAACAACACTGAGTGTGTGCTTTACTTCAAAGAGCAAAATGCAGAGGGCTAGTTCATAGTGTCAACATCTTGAATCATTAAAACAGCTCAAAGACAAAAGGAAAAAAAGAAATGGTGAACTCTGAAATAGTTTATCTTTTTTTTTTTCAAATAAAAATGTTGCTTCATAGGTTATTTGGTTAGCAACATTTGATTTTAAAACAAATCTGGCATAATTGGCTTAATTTATGAATTCCTACAAAAAGTTTGAGTTAACAAAAATCATGTTAGCAAACATGCAGACATGCCTGGAGCATTTGTTAGCACACGAGGAAATGGTTTGGCACTTGCTCATCAGTGGCATCTGAATCAGTGCAGTTTGTCCACAGCCTAATGCTCAGCTGTGCCACCAAACATAAACTAAAGAGTGCACCAATCTTCTTTCTGCTGAAATGGACTAGACTGTTTTCATTAGATCTTGCACCAGATGCTTCCATTTCTTAGACATCAGTAACCTACATGGAACAGATATTTGAAGGAAGGGAAAACTTATAAGCCAAACCTGAAAGCTGTGCATCTTATGTCTGAGAGTAGAAGAAAAATCATGAGTGAAATGTGAATTTTCAGTATTTGGGTGATATTAGATACAGAGCTAACACAGGTTACACCTATACACCAGTAATGTAGGACAGCCATGGTTCCTCCAACTAAGAAATCGTGTAAAAATTTTCATTTTTAATACTCTCATTACTTTTGGACTATTGTAATACTCTGTACACAAGCCTGAGTTAAAAGACCATCTCCTGCCTCCAGCTTGTTGAAAATTCAGCTGCCAGAGTTTTAACAAATTCAAAGAGACAGGACCACATTGCATCCCACATCCCATTTTTACAAGGCCACACTGGCTATACACATTTGATATCAAATTGATATTAGTTACATTTACATGGCCTCCCTTCTGCATCCATTACAGTTTTACTCAGGCCTCACGACTTGAGCCACTGCCTTTGTTTCTCAGGTCAGACTGGTCTAACCGTTCCATCAGCTCATTAAAGAAGGCACTTTCTGTTTGAAACCATCAAGTTTTGAAGTCTTTATCCAGACAGGGAGTGTGCTAACCTCACCTCCTCTCCAAAACGGTCCCACAGTTCTGTGTATAGTCCTGCGTAATGACTGAAACCCAAAGTCGAAGTGACCTGGCAGAGAAGCTGGTCATTGCCCTGGCTCTGTTTTAATCGTATTTAACCAGGAAAAAAACATCCATTGACATTAGAAATCTCTTTTACTATAAATAATTTATATTAAGTAATTTATTAATTTATTTATTGTTGTATTATTCAGTGTTTATTTAACTTTTCTATTTTAACATTTGTATTTGTTGTTGCTGTTTTAACTCTGTTTATTAAACACATCGTGGGGTTGTCACCCCGGGTATCAACTCTTTTGCGTTTTGTAAAGCACTTTGTAACCAACGTTTGAAATGTGACATGAATAAATTGTAATATTATTGTTATATAAATCTCTTGAAAGTGGGGCAGTGGTGGAGACATGCAATGATCTAATGTAGCAAAACCAAACACATAAAACAAAAAACTGTATTAAACTTCACGTATACCCTGAACTGTAAGCAACATGTAAGCCTTTAGAAACAACTTCTGACCTTCTGATCTGTATATCACATGTATAAACATTTTCTTCCAGACATATATACTCCATATGTTGCACAAATAGGTGTTCTGTCTTTAGGAGAAGTGTTTTAATGTTTTAATGGTAATTAACTATTCTGTTTAATCAAAGACATTTTCATAATTGCCCCACATAATATCTTCCAGTAACAAGTGTTTTTTTTTTATTTCTACCTGAACCACCAGAGAGCACCTGTCAGATCAGTCATCAGAGCCATGCAACGCTCTCCTCTTTCCTTTGTTCTTATGTTACAGACCCACACAAGGCATCACAAAAACCACGTGTAAGGAATATTTAAGTCAACAAAAGATATGTATGCATGTATTTTGTGTGTCAGTTGTTGAGTGACTCATAGAGTCACAGCTCTATTTAGCACTGAGAAGACAAATCAGCAAACAACTGTAATAATAGACTGATGTGAAACAGATGTAAAGACAGAAATGGTGGTGAGTCTGGTCTGTCTTCCTACGAGAGACTATTTCTCTAGTTGCAGATTTAAAAGAAGGTAGAAACTTTGAAATTTCAAATAAATATAAGAGTCTGTGTGTGTATGAAAGTGACTTACTGAGTATGTTGGCTGTGTTTTCTGTCGTGATCTCTATCTCTGGCTCTGTGAAGTATTCCGATGCCACACATCTGCCCTTCTCGGACCCTGGGGGGGAAAGAAAAACGTGAAAAAGAAAGAAAGACGAGAAAAAGGAAAGCCACAAGCGGGTAGCACGGTTGGACTTGTTTGGGTGGCAAACAGTCGGGGGATTATGCGCATGCAGAAATAAAACCAGTATAAACAAACAAAGAGGTTATAAAAACCCAGAGAAAGGGCAGACAGCCAGACTGAGACAGAGCGACAGTGGAGACAAAGAGATTTAGAAAGGACAAATAAAATGAGAGGTGAAAGAGAAGCGAGGCATCTCAAAAGAAATGAGTTTAAAAAAACAGAAACAGGGAGGCAGAGAATGGAAAGGAGAGAAAAAGTGAATTAGAGGCAGAGACAGATGGAGGTCAGGAGGTTCGGGAGAAAACAAGGTCTGAGCAGAGAGGGAGAGGAGCTGAATGCAGACACAACGATTAACCTCAAACTGTAGCCACAGACACACACATGCAATACACAACACGCAAACCTGACATCTGTATGTATACAAAAACATAACAGAAAACGATGCACAAATCTGCAGACAAATGTGATAGCTCCCCTCCCTCTCTCACCCACACACTCTCTTCCAAATGCCACTGGCGTTTTCCCTCCTCTGACCTTTTGTACCAGGCGTCAGACAACAGGGAAACACAAACATGGCCACCTCCCCAGAGCAACACCATCATGACCCGAAAGACAGAGACAGCTACTGCAATAAGGACAGCTATTTGTGTTTCGGTGTCCTGCCTGCTGGTGTTTGTTTGCGTGTACGAGTGAAAATACCTTTTTTTATCATTCGGTTCAAAAACAATTATCTAACAAAGCCAAATTCTGCCACAGGTGACTTTTTCTCCCAATCATAATAAATATTGTACCTATTTTAAGAAGTTAGATTTGGGCATAGTCTTTAGCTAGGCATCATCCAACAGCTGATGTCATGTTTGGATCTTATTTACGAGTTTAATGCCCATAATATGCCCAAGTTAAATATTTGTGATGTTTCAGGACACTCAGGGCACTCAAAACGTCTCTAATACTTCTGTTCCTGACTGAGTATTATACAGCTTATGGAAAAATGGAAAAATCTGTGGGCTGCAGCACCTCACAGTGAAGCCCCGCCAATAGCCACTGATGTCATTGGCTCCAACTTAGAAGCCACTGACCTTGTGGTGGGTCTCAGTATCTACCAGAGAAATTCCTGCATTATGGTGAATTTTTTAATGAACATTTTTGCATCAATTTATGGTAAAGATGTCTGGAAAATGTGTCACGGCTTTCTGGCATCAAATAACAATCCTCAGCTTTTATCCCTGCTATCAACACACATATACGTGTATTTATTCTCCTGCCCTCTTTTTTTGATGCTCCACATTGGGTACCAGCATTTGTCTGGAGAGAAAGGGATAAAGGTAGTCTAACTCAGTTTCTGTTCCTCTGCAGTCAGTCAGGACACGGGTCCTTGTTGCACATGAAGGTTACCATGTGCACGGCTGCTAATGCTGTTTTCATTAGCAGCTGTCATGCATTGTTTAAGCCTTGAACACAACAAATGTGACAGAGCAAAATTTTTTGAACCAGTGTGCCAAGAAAAAAGTTAATTCATTGTAAACATTGTGCAACATGAAATCAATATATTTTAACTGTTTCACTTCGATTCATAACTGTCTATGGAAGCAGTGTGGAACAGATGCAGTGCTCAGCGTTTATTTTAAGACTGATTTTTTTTTTTTGCAAAAAGAGTGGATTAAGAGAGAAAATTCAATAATGTTAGTCCCTCAGACGAGGTGAACTTTAACTGTACCAGCTGCGAGCCTTAGACTGAATGGCAAAGATAAGGCTCTCCCTTTCGGTTGCACGTTTCATGAATTGCTGCCATATGTTTTTCACTGTTATATGTATATATTGAAACGCCGATCAAAAGCCACACTTTGACAAATAAAATAAATATGCAATAAAATAAATATGAAAGAAGGCGAGCAGGACTATTAAAAAATGGGTAGCCTGCTGTACATGCACATCTATACAAATTGTTTTGTTTAATAATGTGTCTGATTTTTGAAGAATAAGTATATTCATGGCAAAAAAAGAACTTTGCTGTGGGATAGCAGAATAAATGTATAAACAACTGAAATTAATGGCATCAAATTATCTTTATAATTACCAGTTGACTTAAAATATAACTAAACTGAGTTTATGTAAATATAATTAATTTTATACTGTGGAACTGTTACCAACCAGCCACAAAGCAGACCCTCCAGAGGCCAGAGTGCAGCGCCATTTTGACCTCAGTGGTCTGGTTCTGCTGCAGGACGATTCCCTCCTCCATCAGCAGCCAGTAGTCTGTCGACACAGCGACGCCCACCAACAGCAAACCACAGGCCCCAAAAACCGACGAGAGAAGTGTCAGCGCCCTCGTACTGAATGAACTCATCTGAGGAGAAAGGAGATAAAATCACGGTGATCAGTGTTGCTTGTGATAAATACAGCAGGGATCAGCATGCAGGAAGACAAGGAGGAGAAAACAGTGAATTAATTTGCTGGATTAAACAAATTAATCAATGAGGGGAAAAAAAGAGCTATACCACAGATCGGGGGCGGGAGGGCCTACAAATAGTGGGGCGGCACAAAAAAATTAGAATTAATGTTTCAACTCATTGTAGGGTGTTTTCCTCTCTCTTGTGCTCACGTTTATAAATAGTATTACCAAAAAGAACAGTCTTGCTGGGGGGCAGGGAATCTGGGGGTGTGGACACCCCCTTGGTGGTGGCCCTGACACAGTACAGCATTATCTATTGATTTCTGTGGTGTCAGTTAAAAAAAATGTGGAAAAGAAGAGATGACGAGGACACACAACCTGTCTTGAGTTTCACTGACCTCAGCTATGAAATATGTGCATGGACAACCTAAGAAAAAATAAACCACTTTCTTGTTGAAAGGCAGTATAACATTCAGGTTAACTGCTTATATCAAGCAGCAATTCAGCAAATATTTTTCATTTTATGAAGCTGGATCCTTAAATACACAAATGCACACCTTCTCTCTAAATATGTGATAAAATCCCTCATTTTCAAAACTAGACCTTGAAATTTTGAGCCTTTTAAATTCATATTAAAGTCAAATATTTTAAGAGCTATAATGTCTTTTTGTATGTCTCCATAAATCAGAAATAGCTGTCTTATTATAAATGTCCAACACTTATATGTACATATGTACATTTTGGATATTTTCCGTCCGTCCCTCTGAAAGAAGACACATTGTTGAAGTAAAATAGCAATGTGTATACCAATCCTGAAATTTTTAGATATTTAAGATGATTTTGTAATATATATACATATATATACACATATATATATACACACACATATATATATATATATATGTGTGTGTGTGTGTGTGTATGTATGGAGGTAGCATGCTTTAAAGACTGTAAAATTTGCAAAGATTGAAAAGCGGACCTGAAAATTTAAAACAAGAAAGGAAAAAAAGTTAAGGAAAGACAACAATGTGACAAATTATGCTCAGAAATATTTTGAGTTCAGCAAAAAATGACAGAAAGCAAATGAAGAAAAGTTTATTGAGGTGTTAACAAGTCATCTCCTGCAAGGGAGAAACAAAACATCATTTGACGAGTGAGAGGGAGAACAGTGATGACTTTGATCCTACAGTAACTGAGGTCCTGTTTGTTTGAGAACGAAAGGCTGTGTCAAGAATTTGTTCTCTTCAAAGTCAATTCATTCAATAATCAGAATATCTCAAAGTTAATTCTTTGCATATATACACAGTTAAGAATGGAAAAGAACATTAACAAATAAAAGAAAAAATATGGAAGCTGCAAAGCTTTGGTAAATAATAAATAATTTTCACTAATAGTTAAAATTGTGGTCTGGTCACAGTTTTGTTTTGTTTTTCAATCTTCTGGATGCTGCTGAGGATCAGTAAGTAGCCAAAATGATTTTGGCAAAGCTCACACTGTGACTGGCTGATCAGCTTCTTCTCGTGTTCGGTGTGTCAGGTTCCTGCATTGCATGCGCATGCATTGCAGGTTGGCACTCACTAGGTGGCAGAAACGCTGCCTCTGCCATGTATCACTTCAACTGTTGACAAGCTGAAAAACATCCTGGTCTCATGTACACACAAACACGACAGGGCTTCATACATCCAGTCAAAATGGAGGTCACATTCAACATGCTGAGGACTGAGGCAGCGAACATGCTCGAAAACCGGCTTTCAATTTTCAGCTGTGAGCTACTTTTACACGGACATAAATTAGAGAAATAATGCAACTGTCTCTGCTACGAGCATGCATAAATTTATACTAATTGGCAGGCCACCTGCAGTCCAGTTCACCTTCAGCGGTGTACAGTGGGAACCATTAATTAAAGCTGAGGCTGAATCATGTTAATGCAGTTCGATAATTGCCATGGTCTTTACTCATGACAAACAAAATGGCATCAGCTCTGATACAAAATACGAATGTATGCACAGTTTGAGCTCCTGATCCTCAGTGACAACACATGTAAAAAGCACTGATTTATGATAAGATCAATATTAGAATCACCTATTTTTTCCTTCTTGTCTTTGTGTTTTGGAAATCTTGTAAAACCAGTTTTTTCCTCATGTAGAGAAAATGAGAAGCAGTCATCCAGGAGATGAAATAATCTCTCAGGAGACATTTATTATGGAAATACGTGATATGAAGGAGAAGAGAGACGAGCACACCTGTTAGAGCAGGTATGATCATCCACTTCTGATGTTTATCTTTCCACAGAACATTTTCAGTATTCTCCTTTCTGTCTACAAACCCCTGCACACAGTGAACAAGGGAACACAGTGGGGCTCTGCACTTCCTCAAACTAACAATGACATCATATATTACACAAATAGCATCATGTATATAAGACAGGTCTAACACAAAAACGCTTCACAAGGCAAAGTGAAAGATTTTTGTGAAGGATTTACTTTGAGTAGGTCCCTGTAATATGGTGGGGGAGTGGAACAAAGGTAAGGTCTCTGTATTTTGTGGAGGCCTAAAAGCGTCGGGCTCAGTGGAACTTCTGTTTTCCTTTGTTGAGGGTTCAAGTCAAGACAACTGCTAGTTTGAGGAAGGGCACAACCTCACTGTGTTCCCTTGTTCACTGTGTGAAGGGGTCAGTGGACACAGAAGGTAGACATATTTACATCACACACATATAGATATATGGACATTATACATATAGCATCATATACGTATATAAGGGAAGTCTAACAGGATTTGCCATCTCTGTCAACTGTCCATGATATCCAAAGACACATTTTGCAGCTGGTCTTTATAATGCTGTAGAAATAACATAAGACAAATTTAGAAATGTTTCCTGTCTCCACATATCATGTAAGTTCAGTCACATGTTATTTTGTACCTTTCTTTAAACATGTTCACAAGTTTCAAACAACAAAACTTGTGAACATGTTCTCTGAAGCAACACATAATAGTGTATCGCCGAAATTAAGCCTTTTACTTTGAAAAGTATCTGCATTATTTTTGGACCAATCTTTTAAAGGTGTGATGGGGCTTTTAAAAAAAAGATAACAATGACAAAGTTATTCAATTAATTTTAGATTTTACCATCAAACACAGAACACAAGTCAACCTGCTGAACTCCGTGAACTCACTGTGAAGAGTCTGCAGAAACGCAGCAGCTTTACTGCTGTAGGTCTCACAACAAAAGTCGTCTCCATTTTCAAAAACATTTTAATTTATATAAAAGGCAGACATTGCTCTTTTTGAAGAGGATATTTATGGTTACATTGAATGGTTTTCATGCATTACTATTAATAAATAACAGTGAAAACAGGGCGCTAAAGGAGGTACACTGACTTTTACGATGCTGTTTATGAGGTGAGGCTTAAGAGAGAGAAGCCGATAAGAGACCAGCCAAGAACAAAATTAAGTCAGGAGACAAGATCAGAATTGAAGCGAAAGGAAGCAAGAGGAAGAGTGAGGCGTGACATCATCGCTCAAGTAAGACGGTGCAGAGCACATTCAGCAGTGTCAGAGAAGAGTCGCTCACCCAAGCATAACTCACCCATTACAAATATTTGATATGGTAAAACATCCATCAACAGAAACCTCCTGCGAAGATGATGGCACTAAGTATATGATGGTGTACGTGCGAGTGCACACGTGTAGGAGATTGCAAACGAACAGGAGACATGAGGATGTGCACAGAAGCAGAATTTCTGGGGAGTATCAATGCCTGACTTTAATAAAAACTAGTTTAGCTTTAGCTTTAAGAACTCAGCCAAGGACCAAAGATCTCAAATAGCTAAGCTTATGAAAAGGTTATGTCTTTTTAAAATTTGAACAAACTGTAGAGAGTATAACCTGCATTAATTTTTCAGGCAACACATGCATTTTGAAGAAGGACTCAGTATAAATACATGACTCCAAACATACAAAATCTGCAGTCACATGCACAGTCAGAGTTATACCTTGACTTGTTATAAAAAGGAAAAGCAAAGCGAGGACAGTGACTTTGCCCTTTCTGCACAGTCGAGTAAGACGTCACGGACACTTTCAGAGACGTCACTGCCTCCCAAAGTCACATCCTCTGAAAAAGACAAAAGTGATTGGTGCTCAAGTAAATAAGCATCAGTCTTAGTGCTGCAAATGTCAGACTCAACACGAGAGGCAATCAGGCGCTCAGTGCTGCTGACTCAAAACACAAAAATCCATCCACCACTTAGACCAGAAGAGACACAGTCGAGTACCTGCGGTACTCAGATAACTGTCTCACTCTGTGGGCTTTTAGATTACTTCATTCAGCCTTTTTCACTCTCTGTTGATGACTTTCAGACTGGTGGCATTGCACTACAGAGTAGATAGTTGTCCTAACTAACCTACGTGTCTGAAATGTTTGTACTGAAAGGCAAAAAAACATGAAGAAGTTGTCATGTTTTTTTTTTTATTTAATTTAATTTATTTATTTGCCTTCTTTGGGCATTTAATTGTTTCACTCTAAACCAGGGGTGTCGAAGACCAGGCCTCGAGGCTTTAGATAACACCCTGGGTCAACACACCTGAATCAAATGATTAGTTCATTACCAGGCCTCTGGAGAACTTCGAGACACGTTGAGGAGGTAATTTAGCCATTTAAATCAGCTGTGTTGGATCAAGGACACATCTAAAACCTGCAGGACACCGGCCCTCGAGGCCTCCTGTTCGACACCTGTGCTCTAAACTGTTTTTCTTTATTTGGAGGAATTAGTTTGTCAGCACTGACTTATGTTAGAAGTTTGTGGTAAATTTTCAAAGACTGTAAATCAGCGATGAAAGCAGTCACATGACCCACTAGTTCGTGGTTCTGAAACCTCATCTTTAGTTGTATGTTCTCTGATTTAGACATCATCATATTTGGTTTAAGAAATGAAATGCTAAGTTATCAGCTAATGCTA